GAAAGTTAGATTATAGAGAATGGAGCATAAGTAAACTGTGTAGCAGCCATATGGTAGGCTACTATTTAATCTTTACAGGGAAGAGGTAGGGAAATGTTTTAATGCCATGAAAAAAAATGTTGGAGTAAAACAGGGTACAAAATATTCCTATTTTATTCCCATGTGTGTCCTTAAAGCAAGAGAGCTAGAAAGCCTGGAGAGGTACCCAACTGTTATCTTGGGACAGTTGCCAGTGATGTTCCTTTTCCTTAGTGCTTTGTGTTCAGTCTACATTTTCTGTAGTGAGCACATATTACTTTCATAATTAGATTAAAAAAACAAATCCGTGGGTTTGGTTTCTTTTGAATGAAGACTATTAGCAGGGATCTTGTCAAGACGCATGAAGCAGGATCTTCTGTGGGCGCCCCCTTGGGCCCTTCCCCGCCCCCACCCCTACTTCCACCCCGCCCCTGCACCCTTGCAGTGGCCCCAGGAGGCGTGGGCCCTGAGTTCAACTGGTTGGGGCCGGCCTGCCCACCCCCTACCCCCGCTCCCCTTGTGCCTCCCCCTCTCCGAGTAGTGCCGGTGGGACCCCAAGTGCTCTGTTTAGTCCTCACCCCACCTGTGTGCCTCCATAGCCCTATTTTCCAGAGGGCGAAACGGAGACATCTGGAGCTCCCAGGACCCCAGCGGTGGGGTGACACGCTGGAGTCGCTGTACCCAGGGACTGGCCCTGCCTCCCACCCCGCGGTCACATTGCGGCTCTGCCTGGGCCCCGATCTCTCTAGGACAGGGTGCACACCAAGAACACCTGTCGCACTGTGTCCTATCTCCTAAAGTGCAAAGCCGGTGTCTTTGCCCCTGCCCCGGCCTGAGCGCGATGAGGCCAGGCCTTCTGAGGAAGGATGACTTGAGCAAGAGCAGAAGGCAGGAAAATGGAGATGATCTCCAAGGTCAGCACGGCCAGCGTGTCCTTTGCAGGTTGTGGGGTTAACACAGCAGGCAGTGACCTGGGCTAGAAGGGGAGCTGTAAGGGGGACATGCCTTCCCCAGGACTTCCCAGAACTGAGATACCCCTTCAGGGCACTAGACCAACAGACTATCCCTGCTAGGCCTCCAAGTCTCTGTGAGGGCTAGGGGTCACCTAGAAGGGTCCCTGGCTTTGCCTCTTCCCTGGGGAGCACAGAGAAGGGGGTGGAGAGACCACAGTTCTTAGGTAATTGCTCGCACAGAGGGCTTTCCCACACAGGGCTTGTCCTGGCAGGTAGTAGCAAAGGACAGCATGGGGGACAGCCAGCCTGGCCCCAGGAGACCGGAGCCCTCACCACCCATCAGACTCTGCTGATTCCGTCCCCCCCTTACTTAGTCCCCCTCTGCACCACCACCCCTTCTGTACCTGTATTCTAGGGCTTAGTCATAGAGGTCAGATGCAAGAGGTCCCGGACAACTTTTAGGTCAACCTTGTCATATTTTAGAGGAAACACTTGTCCAAGGGCACTCAAGTGGCCAGCAGTTTTAGGGATGAGCACTCTTGACGGGAGGGCATGATTTCTGCAATTTTATCTTAGATCTCTTTGTGCATCCACACTGTCACACTGGGGAGTTCTTCCAGACAATGACAAGCTTGAAGTGATGGAACTATGATTGCCTTGTCCTCCCTTCAGTTGCTGATAACAACCTGCTCCTTCCAGAGACATCCGAGCATCCGAGTTCCTTGGAGAACTAGGTGAGAACCAAAGGAGTGACGGACTTGTGTCTGGCACACGTTTGGGGCAGGAGACCTCAGGGCTGGTCCTGGCATCATCTACCAGACCAGGAACACATGATTTTAGAAGCACTTTTGGGGTCCCACTAAAGCTGTCTCTTGGGTATTCCTTAGCAGCACCTTGATGCTGTTTTAGGACTGACCATCCAGCACCTTCGGACATTGGAATGAAACAGTGAGCTACAATGGAGGGCAACAACCCTCGTGCGCAGTGTACAGAGTGCCAAGAAGCAGTTCAACCTTTCACCTCCCAAGACTGACTTGTAACTGTGTTGTTGCAGGGATCTGCAATATCAGATACCTAGAGAATTGTGTTGGTTCACTACAAGTTGCAAACTAGGTCACAGGAGGTTGGATTTTACCTTCAACCTTTTTATAATTAACCTAATTTTTAACCTTACTGGATTATGCTGTAAGTAACCTGCAAGAACCTAAGAGCCGAACATTTTCTTATGCAGTCTTGTCCCACACTGTCCAAGAAAGTAGCCACTAGGGCTGTGGAGTTACTGCACACTGGAGATTGTGCTAGTGAGCATAAAATTCATACTGGATTTTGGTGACAGTGTGGAATAAAAAAGATGTTAACATTTCTTTTTAATAAATTTTCTATTATTATATGTTGACATGATGAAAATAAATTTCATTTTTCTTTTTTAATGAAAAGCTGTTGAAAATTTAATATATTTGGCTCACAGTATGTTTTTCATGGATGATGCTGGTCTAGAATATCTATCTAAAAGTATTTCTCCCTGTAAACTTTAAAGCAAAATGCAACACTCCTTTCTTCCACAAAACATGAAGAATTTTAAGTGTCCAGGCACTTTTCAAAGGTACATGCTTGATATCATTCTCCAGTTCCTGTACAATGAGTACCAGGTCTGTGGCAAATGATTTCAGGATCTCGGGACTGTTTGTGATTTCCAGAGTCCAGAGATAGAGAGACAAATGCAGCTCACTCCAGCATTCCTGTTACTGTTGAAAAGAGATGGAGTGATGCTCCTCCTCTCTCAACACACTCTTGGGACCAGCACAAGAACTCCCTTCTTCAAGGATGGTAGCAGGGAGGGAAGCGTGTTGATAATCATCCCTGCACCCCCAGAGCATTTTAGGAGGGCTTTGTGCCCAGGAATGAGCAGGATCCTTCCTGGACAGTGCAAGACAGCCAATCCAAAACAGGAACATTACAATAAAAAGTTGTGGGGGGATGGAAGACAGCAAAAGAAATACCCAAAGTAATATAAACATACAAACATATTGCTTATAATTCATGGCTTATTCTGTGGTGCTCACAATCTCATCTTAAATAAATGGTGAGGGAAAACACACCCATTGCTGAGCAGTAGATAGATAACAAGTAGATAAACACTTGTTATCTACCTTTACGTAATCAAGGTCTGGAAGATGGGAACTACACGGAGGATGTATTCAAGGATCTTCTCCCCTACACCCCGGGTCTCATCAGATGGGCAAAGGATTAGGTGAGAGTTTTCTCTCCCACTGTGCTTCAATTTCTCCTGCTCAAGGAACTGTGGAGTGAGGGAGAACAGAGGATTTTAACTATTTGTTGACTCTCCACAATGTGCCGGGTACAAGCCTGGTGTAAAGTTGAGGAAACAGACTTGAGATCATTCGAGTGATTGAAACTTAAGTCATTTGTCTGAGGACACACGGCTAACAAACAGTAGACTCAGGACTGGAGCAAGGCTGTCCATCTTCAGAGCCCAGAGTCTCGCCATGATACCACAATGGGTAGTTATGCCCCTGTGGCTTGCCCTCATGTCTACTTTGTGCTGTCATCTTTGGCATTCAGAGTGTTAGCAGTTGAGAACTCAAATTATTAAGGATCATTTCAGCTGAGAGATGCTTGGCCAGTTGGGTGGAAAGGCTGGTGTAGTGAAAGTCAGGAGAAAGCTCGGCTGAGCTTCTTTCCTCTGGTGCCAGAGAAAACCTCCACATCTGTGGTGCTGGTGACTGGGTCATGATTTCTCACAGGTGCTTGGGTTTCCACTTTGCAGGGCTCTCTCTACAACGTTGCATCCAGGGGCTGTGGGAAAGGGATGGCAGCCCAGCTCATGAATGTTTTAAGTGACTGACACATTAGAAAATACTTGTTTTAATTGACTGATACATTAGAAGATGCTTAACTCAGTTTTTAAAAATTAAATAATGATACCACTTAGCCCACCTCCCGACACCTTGCAATGCAGAGCGTCCCCTTTGTGAGAAAGCAGGCTGCGGGGCCGTTAGTTCCTGCAATTGGCTGTCCCCCTTACCTGGGGGCCAGGGGCAGAGAACACGGCACACCCACAGGTCAACGTTACCCTGGCATAGGCCCCTTGCCCATGCTTGCTCTCGGCCCTTGCTGGCTTCCCTGTGGAGTTTTTGTAAAGCCCTCACCTCCCCAGCCACCTTCTCTTAACATTCCTGCTTCAGTCTTCTCTATTATTCAACCTGACCTGCCATCTTCTATTTCAGAATTACTCAGAATTTCTGCCCTTGTACCTTATTTTTTCTTTTTTTTTTTTGCCTTGAGAGCCATTATAGATTTCTTGAAGTTCAATGAAATTTGGGAGGAACAGATAAAAGTGAGCACTCAGTCACTGTTTGCCATCTCAAGTCATGACCTTTGACATAAATGAGGCTGCTTCCAATTTGCTGGGGCAAGCTGATAACCTGGTGGGGTGTCCTGTACATTAGGTAAGGTGTGTAAATCAGCCCTGACTTCGCCAGAGGGAGCTGCTTGACCTCCTCTGGCTTATTTCCTGTCCTGTTTTATTAAGTAGGCTCTACGCCCAGCGTGGAGCCCAACACAGGGCTTGGACGCACGACCCTAAGATCAAGACCTGAGCTGGGATCAAGAGTTGGATGGACGCTTAACCGACTGAGCCACCCAGGCACCTGAAGAGCTGCATTTTTAAAATCAAGGCTCACCTACCTGTGGAAAGCAGATCCAGGCCCCCTGGATAACTAATGTCAGTGTTACCTGTGAGTTTATCTAATTAATGCTTCTGTCTTTCTACTTGCCTCAGATTATTTTTTCCTTAGCCAGATTTTTAAAATGTGTTGAGGCACCAAACGTTCCTTACATTCTTTGACGGCCTCTAATTTCTGGAGCTCCTGAGGCTGAGTGCACCATGCAGCCTCCTCCATGCCACCTCCACCTGGCTGAACCCATGACCCACTGTGGGCCCTTCCTCCTTAGAACCCTTACCTCTACCCTCTTCCCCACTTCCCAACAAAACAATCGGAGCATGTGCCCAAATTCATTTTTTTATTTTGCACACATAGGAAATGGGGCCCTATGAAAAGAGAACAAAAAAAGAGGTGTGAGCCAAATGTTGCAGAGGAAAAACATGCACAGATCTGCTCCCAGTTTACTCCTAACCACCGACTCTATAAGACTTCAACACACCAGGAGCTGGACTCACTCCAGGAGGGGGACACAGTCCACTGCCAGCACAGACGGAAGGAGAGTGGCCAAGAAATGTCACCACACGTGGAATTTCTACACACAGTATCAGCGTTCACTGTAGAAGGGTTCTCACCCAGGTTCAAGGGAAACCAAAATTTATCTTCACAAACATGGAATACAAAATTGTTGAGCACTACCTAAATCATTCAATCTCTGAGATCATTTGCTATCAAAAAGATAAATAAAATTTAGTCACGGATATCTGGGTGCTTTTTCAACCGCACCCTGATCCAATTCCGGGGCAGCTCTTACTGTGCTTCATTATTAAAAAAAAAAAAAAGTGAAGGGAGAAATTTCAGTCAAAAATGCAAAACGAATGACCCGGAAGAAGAGGAACCTTCTGGACCCATGTAGTTGTCCTTGGCTGTAAACAGCAAATGTTGTGCTTTGTTGCCTCATCTGGATCAAGGACAGAGTGAGGAGAGGTACCGCCATCAGGGGCACGAGTTGGGAGGTCACACGAGGGTAGCTGAAGACTCCAGCAGCACCGTCTGCGTTTAAAAACCGTGTTTCCGAGGGTTTGTGTTTGGCTCCCAGCATTTCCTGTGGCGTTCCCTGGGAGGCGTGCAGATTCTCCGTCTTCGCAGGAAGCTAAGTCTGAGCACTTGCTGCAGTCCTGTTCTGATTTCTCACCCTTACCCTACCTAAACATCCCGGGAGCAAAGGGACACCCAGACTCCTGGTCTGCGGAAATGAAAACTCCAGCGAGATGTTCTGACGCTCAGGTTCAATGAGTAACAACTTCTCAAGAGGCTCCAATTAGTTTTTACAAAAATAAGCTCCCCCCCCCCCATTCCACTACTACAACACACAGGAGATCTACCCATCTTGGCTACGTTGCTTTGTCTTCCTATACACAACTGGTCAGATCTCAATCTGGGTTTAAATGCACCACCAGCATTATTTGCTGCAGAGGAACAGAACTTCCTTATAACCCGGTGACTACTTGTTAGATCCCAGGGTGACACATGTTTCTCAGCCAGGGTTTGCATTTCCAACCACATCTTCGATTCTAATTTTGATTACGTTGTCAGTGAATCCTATTCAGTACTTTTTGAAGAGATCTTCTGGCAGTCCCGGGATTTTGTATTCCTGTCTTTTTTTCAGCAAGCTTTTCCTCTTCAGAGGCTGACACACACACACACACACACACACACACACCCCTGCTGAGATCAAACCACTGGCTGCCCGTCAAAACCGCTGGCCGGACCCTGCCGGGACACTCTCCCCAAGGGGCTGATGTGACTTCCCAGCCAGATGTGCCTCTCCGCTTTGAAAGTGTCCATCACAACCACCACCAGGGCTGCCATAGGTAAGGGCGTGGAGACCTCTGGTCAGGCACCAAGGCCAGACAGCCGCTGACGTTCAGAGAAGACACTCTGAGTCTGACTTTCAAGGACGGGACTCTACATGAGCTTCCACAAACTCACTAAAAAGGGGGGGGAAACATTTTATTTCTGCCAAGTCAGACCAAGAGTTCATAAAATGCAATATCTCAGTTTGACGCAGGAAATCAATTTCCCACAAATTTAAGTAACTTTCCTTAGTGATTTTCAGGTAACTGTAGACATCCAACCTGACCTAACCTGGATCCTCATCTCCTCGATGATGTACACAGTCTTCTCCCAGCCCTGGCTTTGCAGAAGGGATGCCGCTCTCATCTCTAGGAAGTGAATGGACATAGAAAGTGCTATGAAGCTTCTCCCACACCGGAGTCTAACAGCTTCTTGAAGAGGAAGACTGACAGGACACATGGGGCTCCAAGAGTGGACCCCGCGGGCCCTCACTTCTGTGAGCTGACTGCTGTGTGCCTGGGAGGAAGCTGCCTAGGCCAGAACAGCCCCTCCTTGTGCTCCGCCTACACACATGGGCCCTGCTGTGGCTCCTTCTCCTTAGTCTCTCTCCCGAGGATCTTGGGTGTCAACCCTTGGGGACTGTCCACACGCTGCCAGAGCTCAGATTACATCAGAAACAGAAGCAACAGAGGAGACACAGGATAAATTCAAATACTGGTTCTCCACAGAAAACTTGAAAGGGAGCTGTGCTTGCTTTGAAGATATCAATGAGGAATTTGCCCTTAGTGGCTCAGAAGACAATTCCTGGAAGCGAACATCGATGGGGACAGAGAGGTGGGGTGAAAGCGCCCCTCCCTGTTCCCCTGTGAGGTCGCACAGGCCGTGCCCCCTGCTACTTGGCCTTCACCACCTGTTCATATGGGGGCGGGGGCGTATTGCAGTAAGAGGGGGGCGGAGGGTAGGCTGTGCTTCCCTGGGGTGAGCTGGGTTGGACCTGGAAAGCCATCGCCATGGGATTTCCAGCAGGATTCATCCCTGGTCCTCCAGGGTCGGTGTAATACGGCAGCCCCGGCTGCTGGGCTCCTGAAAAGACAGATGAGCAGATGTGAACAGAGTGGAAAAAAGGCAAACTGCCTATCACCCCCGGCCATCCCCTGAGCTGACATGGACTGAGGGCCAAATGCCCAGACACAGTGGGGCACCCGGGACATGGGAACGAACCAGAGCCACACATGAGTCCCCAGCCTCATGCTGCCCATGCTCTGGGGTGCAGACGGCTGAAAGGGCACCCACAAACTCCCCAGGGTGGCTAAGCGACAGGACGGACATTAATAGGATCAGGTACAGTAGGTGGTGGGGCTCCCATGTCGCTAACCCAAAGCCTGAATGATAAACCAAGGAGGCTCTGCAAAGAGCTGGGGAAGTGCGTGCTGAAAAAATTACCAACAGAGAAGGCCGTGTCCACTTTCAAGTGAAGAAGACCAGGGCCACAGTAAGGTAAGCCAATTCGAAGCTCCCTACTGGTTTCCTGACTCTTGCCAGAATTATCACTGGCAGCTCCATAAGCCCTTTGAGAACACAGTTTGCTGAAGTCCATTCCTGAAGTCTGGCCTCCATTTCCATCCGCTGGGCTAACATTTTATCAGGGTGGCGGATACTGGTCATCCAGGTGAGCCCAAGTTCACAGACAGGGAGACCATGGGAGCAAATGCCAGAAGGGTGGGTTGATGCATCTATGGAAGCTCCATTTGTCTTTGGCACTGCTGGAGGAGATGGTTTTCTCCACGGGTGAGGCTATAGGATGCAGGCTGACTCCCCTGCTTCAGGCCAGGGTGCAGGACATGGGAGGAGGGCACCCAGAAAACAAAGAAGGTGACAAGCTGGCCACCCTGTCCCAGATCGAGTCGTAACTCTCATTTTAATGGGCAGGAATATTTGAGCTGCTATTTTCGAGTCTATGTTTTAGATTTGCTCACTCTGATCATGTGGATAATGCTACAGAGGACTGAATATATAAAGAAAGAATCGAGAAAAACAAAACGAAACAAAACTGTGAGCTTTGGGTGTGTCCCGGGCTAAGCTAATTTTGTGGGTAGACTCAGGTCTATTGGAGTTAGGCCTCATTTAACCCAGAAAGCTACTCGGAGTGTCAGAGAAATCATCCCTGTATGTATATTGGTTAGGGCTTTTATTTTTTATTTTTTTCCTTTTTTCAAATGTCTCTTGCCACAGTTTAACTGAATAAAGGTCAGTTTACTAAGAAAGATGCCCACCGACCTGCGTAAGATGTCGCAAACCTGGCCTGTGTCAGATCTGGGAAATCTACAAATGTGCGAAAGGAGAGAATGTAAGACAGAAACTGAAGACCAGAAATGCATTCCCGGGTGTCAGTAGGGGAGCCATCAGCCACAAATGCCAGCTTTATCAATCACTGCCTCATCTCACACCTGTACGGCCCAGCAGTTAGCACCTGCTCCTATCTGTGCATCTTCCCACTGCCTTGGGATGCATTTGCTTACAGGCCCATGACCAGCCACGACCATGAGTTTCCCAAGGGCAGAGATTGCAATTTATTTATCTCTGGATCCCTGTATATTTTATATAAACAAAAAGTTACTTAAAGATTAAAAAAAAAAAAAACAACCAGGCAATTCTAATAGTTTGGAAAAGACTGACTATGAGAGAAATCCGTGACTATGAGAGAAGGAGAGAATGAGAGGTATTCAGGGGAATAACCCAAAGGCCCTGGGGACCAATTCAGTGTGAAATGCTTGAGGACAGGAAGAGGCCTGACTCGAAGAGACCCTGGTTTCCCGTCTTGAGAAAAGGGCCCAACAAGAAAGACAGGGGATATAAGGAAAGAGGGGGTGCAGGGGAAGAGGGGGTGCAGGGTAAGGGCAGGGCCAATGAAAGCTCCATGCTGGGCCTGCTGGAGCCTCAGGACTCTCCTGTAAAAGTGGGGACAAAAACGTGGGTGTGGTTAAAACCAGGCAGGAATTGTGCAGGGAGGGAGAAAAGTCGGCTGAGGAGGGAACTGGAGGAAAGACCAACATTCAAGACAGGAAGAAAACACCAAGCGTGTAGGTGGTAGAGAAGAATGCAAAGGAGACTGGGCAGAAATACTGAAGCACAGTGAAGTAGGGGTTGTGTTATGGCGGCAAAGGGAAAGGAGAATTTTTAAGGAAGAAGTGATTGGTCCTCTACAATGTCAAATAGACAAAGTTTGCAAACCAAGCCAGTGTGACTGGTCCTAAAGAACAAAATTGAAAAGTGCACCTATCAGCAGAATGGAACCAGGTAAAATAAAATCCAAGGGAGCTAAGGGTTGACACAAAACTGAACAAAAAAGAACCTTTTCAAAAATGTATGCATGGAGGATAAAGAAGATTCAGAAAGAAAACAAATGGCCCAAAGAAAAACATTCAGTCTGATTCTCTTGTTAAAATGGTTTGAAATGTAAATGGAGATTAAAATGAGGGAAAATAAAACTCTAAGATAAGTAATAACAGGGTGGGTTTGGGGAGAACAATCAGATGGTCTGACTCTTGACGAAAGTACCACTGTGTAGGAAGTGAGGAAGAAAACCAGCATTCAAGCCCTGCATTAATACTATGAGATGCGCATCACTTATTCCCGTTTTGTAGATGCAAAAGCTCAAGGCCAAAAATTGTACACAATTTGCCCAGGAGGATCTTCTTCTACTGGACGATATTTGGATCTGTAAGAAACAAGGAGTCCATCCCGCAGCAAGTGAGGGGAAGTAGCTAAGAGTGAGCTGGGGTGGGCAGCGTACACAGATGGAAGGAAAGAGCTTGAGTCCCTGTACGCTGCAAAGTAAGCCACGGAGTTAAACCAGGAGCCTCCCTCTTTGTGACTTTTTATCACAAGAGGTAACTCTTAAAAACTGGGGTGTCAGTTGCTGCCAAAATACCAGAACGAATTCTTGCAGAGAACATTTTCGTGATTGATAGACAAGTCTCCCCCCCTTCATTACTTGCCCCTTTCTTTCTTCTTATACTATATCTATTCATTTTGCTAAATTGTCTCAGCTACTAAAAATATTTTCCCGTTCATTCTCTAGGACTTTTTTAGATATGTAATGATATATTGTTTACAATTAGAAATAGTTTTATGTCTCCTTCCTAATGGTAAAATATTATCTTTCATGTTAATACTTTAGCCAGAAGTTCTAGAACAACGTTAAATATTGGTGATAGTAAATATTCTAATTTTTTAATGGGGATACTTTTACTGTTGCACTAAAGATGACGTTGGCAGCAGGCCCAGAGTATAAATTTACTTCATCCTTACTGAACATCAAAAGGCACAGCTGGTAATACTGGGGGTATATCACTGAGGACTTGATCCTTGCCTTCCAGGACCCTGAAGGAACACAGTCTTTATTATATTAAGAAAAAGCCTTACAATACCAGTTACATTACTAGTTTACAGTACACTAATGGTTTTGAAAGAGTTGTGATAAGGGATTTATACTGAATTTTATCAAATTTTATCAACAGCTTTTTCAGCATCTACTGAGGTACTCATTTTTTGTTTTGTTTTGCATTTTTTATTGTGGTAAAATATACATAACCTAAAATTTACCACCTCGACCATTTTTAAGTTTACAATACAGTGGTATTAAATATACTCACAGTGTTGTGCAATCATCACCATGATAGGTCCCATAACTCTTTTCATCTTGTAAAAATGAAATCCTATATCCATTAAACAATAACTCCCCATTATCCCCTTTCCCTAGCCCTGGGCAACCACCAGTGTACTTTCTGTCTTTATGATTCTGACTACTCTAAGTGCCTCACATAAGTGGAATCATACAATATTTGTCTTTTTGTGGCTGACTTATTTCACTTAGGACAGTATCTTCAAAGTTCACCAATGTTGTAGTACATCATACTTCCTTTCTAAATTAATATCCCATTGTGTATGTGTGTACATGCCACATTTTGTTTATCCATTCATTTGTCAATGGACACTTGTGTTACTTCTATGTGTCAGTAATTGTCAATAACGCTGCTATGAACTTGGGTGCACAAATTTATCTTCGAAACTGCTTTCAGTTCTTCTGGCTTTATACCCAAGAAGTGAAATTGCTGGATCATGTATGATGGTAATTATATTTTTAACTTTTAGGAACTGACATACTGTTCCCATAGTGGCTATACTATTTCACATTCCCACCAACGGTGCAAAAGGGTTCCAATTTCTCCACATTCTTGCCCACACTTGTTTTCTGCTTTTTGACAGTACCTATCTTAGTGGGTATGAGGTGGTTATCTTGTAGCCTTGATTTGCATTTCCCTAATGATTAGTGATCTTGAGCATGTATTCATGTGCTTGTTGGCCATTCGTATATCTTCTTTGGAGAAATGTCTATTCAAGTCCATTGCCTATTTTTGAATAGGGTTATTTGATTTTTTGTTTTGGTTGAGTTTTACGAGTTCTCTCTATATTCCAGATATTAACTGCTTTATTAGATATGATTTGCAAATATTTTCTCCTATTGTGGGCATAGCCATTTTACTCTAGTGATAGTGTCTTTTGATACATAAAATATTTAAATTTTCATGAAGTCCAACCTGCATTTTCTTTTTCTTTTATCACTCAGACCTGTGGTGTCATATCCAAGAAATCATCGCCAAATCCAGTGTTGTGATACTTTTGTCCTTGTTTTCGTCTTCTTCTTTTTAAAGATTTTATTTATTCATCTGAGAGAGAGGGACAGAGAGAACACACAAGCAGGGGGAGAGGCAGAGGCAGAGGCAGACGGAGAAGCAGGCTCCCCGCTGAGCCAGGAGCCCGATGTGGGGCTCGATCCCAGGACTCGGAGATCACGACCTGAGCTGAAGGCAGACACCCTACCATCTGAGCCACCCAGGCGCCCCTGTCCTTGTTTCCTTCTAAGAGTTTTATTGTTTTAGGTCTTACATTTAGGTCCTTGATCCATTTATTTTTTAAGATTTCTTTTTTTTTTTTAAGTAGGTTCCACACCTAGCATGGAGCCCAACATGGGGCTTGAACTCATGACCCTGAGATCAAGACCTAAGCTGAGATCAAAAGTT